TGTGAATCTATGATGGAATGGAATCTAATTGCATTCACAGAAAATTTCAAATACTCACAAATGTAGACAATAAATCCTAACGGTGGTGAAAGCTATTACAATTGGAATCAAAAGTTTCAGTAACAACAACAAAATAGAGAAACAATTGGCTGTTGAAGATTAAGGTTCAAAAATTCGAACCTGTGATGGAAATCCAAAAAAAAAAACAGAAATCGAACATTAAGCTACAATAGAATTGTTTCTTTAACTGATTATCGAACCTTTGATTGAAGATTAAAGTTCAAAAAATTGAACTAATTGAAGAGTGCTTCTTACCTGTGAAGTCGCAATCTCCGATTGCCTTGGAGTCGTCGGCTGCAATGGATTCGCCGGAGTCGTCGGACTGGCCGGAGAAGAAGGTTTGGCCGGAGAAGGTCTGGCTGAAGGGCGCCTCTCTTCCTGCGGGTAAAAGTGACGCTGTGAAAGAATGAGTTAGGGTACAGTGTTTTTTTCTTTTTTTTACTGAATTACCAAAAAAAACCCATTATAGTAAATATGTTTAAAAGAATACCCATTGGGTAAATATTTTTTTCAAAAACACTTATATGGTTAAAAACTCAAAGAGAAAACAATTTAGAGGAATACTATCATTACCAATAATTTACATTAAATTATTTAGTTAATATTTAAATAGAAAAACTAAGGTTATAGAACTTGAATTCTGTTAGTTTTATGTTTGGAACCGTTGGCCCAAAGGATAATGGAAAATTTGACTATATAAATTCAAATCAAACGTATACTCTCTCTCTCTCTAAACTCTCAAGCAGTTTTCAACAACTCCGATTCATGCAATTAATCTCTGATCATCACATCGACGATGACAACGCCATTTCAACCTGTTACTGTGATCGAACCATGGAAATTCGAAGCCATAATCCCATCGCAGTTCATCACATTCACAATGCTAAACCCCCTTAACCACCGCCGGTTTCTCCCCGCTCTAGTGCTCCGCCTCGCCGTACTCGACTCTCCAACAGCCAAAGCAGACGACGACTCCCCGATAATCGTAGCCATGATTGTACCCAAAAACCGGGAAACAGACTGGAACTTCTGTACAAAATCTGGCCACATTCAGCTCCTACTCCGATCCCATCACATCTCCCGCCTCATCCTAATCGGTAACAATCCCCCGCGTAATCCAGGACTCGCCATTTATAAACGACCTCCGACTGCTGATACATTGGAGGAACAGAGACTAGTAAACGAATTGAAACCACTACTAATGTCTTTGCATCCCAAAATGAGTTTTAACCGAGGTTTGCCAGAAACCCTATTCTTGACGTATAAAGACGATGTGGCGTATCGTGTGACTGTTGCTAAAGTTAAAGGCCACGTTGTTGGTGAATTTCTTGTTGAAGATGTTGAATTGGTCGGTGGTAGTGATCGCAATAAAGAACTCCGGAGGAGATTGAGGTTTAAAAGAATGCCTACTTTGATCCAATCTCAGGCCCTTCTTGTTCCTCTTATTGACAATAACGAAGCTACTACACAGACAGATTTGGAAAGTTTGATGAAAACAGAAGGCGCGAAGTTTGAAGTTGATACGAGGGTTTTGGTTCAACAATACGTGATTCACATGGTTGCAGGTCTTTTCTTGATTGTTTCACATCTTAAAGAGCGATATGAACAAGGATTGTTTCCAAGGGCTTTGTGTTTAGGGATTGATGGTGGAGTCTTGTTAAGTTTCTTGAATACTCAAATGGGGCTTCATGTTACAGGAGTGGAGTCCGATGTGTCTGTTTTGATAGCTGCAACAGAGCATTTCGGGTTCAACAAATCACTTGCAATTCGAGTAATTGTTGCAGATGCCATGGAAGCGATTCAAAACTTTCTGCCCCTAAACCCAGGGGGGAAAATGGATGATAAATTTGATGTGATTATGGTTGATTTGGATTCAAGTGATGCTAAAAATGGGTTTTGTGCTCCACCACCGGAATTTGTTAAGAAATCTGTTTTTGAAGATTTGAGATCACTTCTTGATGATCATGGTGCTCTCATTATCAATGTGGTTCCTTTGAATGAACTGTTCTTTACGACATTGGTTAAAGAGCTTGGGGAAATTTTTCACAATGTTTATAAAATTGATACTGGGAATCAAGAGAATTTTGTTGTTATTGCTATCTTATCACCATCTTCCCCAGGTGATGATGATGATGATGATGATGATGATAATAATATATTCTTAGAGAGGTTGAAATCTACGATTCTAGGGATTTATCCATTTATTACTTTTCATCCCTTAAAAGGTGATGTACATGACATTAACACCCCAAATATCATATTCCTATAGATTTCATTTCCCAGAACATGCTTATTGATCAATTTGTTACTAGTTTTAGAAATCATACTTTGATTTTTCATTAGAATTGGAAGGAAGTTAGATTGAAGTGCAGTTAGAGTTGATGGGAACTAGGGATCGAGTTAAATTCTTACAAGTGTTTGTTGGAAAAAGCAAATGTGCCAATTATGTCTATGTATATGTATATATGAATGATCTTTTTGAACTTTGTCGTCCTAAAATCAAGTCAAATTATGAAGTTAAAAAGGAACTGTTACTGTAACCATGTCATGTTTTGAATTTACAATGAAAAGTAAAGTAATCAATCTTTAGCCATATAGCTAATTGTATATTGAATTTTAAGGTGATACAACTATTATATTCAATGTGTAACTCACAACTTCTTTTAGGAGATGCTTTTCTAAGCTAAATAAAGAAAATACAATATAATAAACTAATTTATGTTTGCTAAAGTGATTTCATCGATGCTGTTTTATTTATTTATTTATTTATTTTTATTTTTTGTCAAAAATGGAAAATACATGTAACCTTTCACCTAGGGGTATAATAACACGTATTAAATCTTCAAATCTTTACGTTGAGATTTCAGCCTTAGAAGAAATACTTACATGCATGTGTATTTTTGTCTAAAAAACAATCTAAGTTTTATAAGTGTAGTTTTCCTACTTGCATACTTTTATAAAGAAAAAATTATCAAACACAATCGTAATCATTTTCATGAAAAAAAGTTAATATAAAGGTGTAGAAATATAATGTTGTATTAACAACATCACCGCTCACATTAACTTATTTTAACTCATTTAGTGTGGTGTTGTTAAGGTACACATTTCATTCGAAAGCAAGTGAATAACCATGGTGCTTTTGTGGCCATGTGTTGGATTCATGATATTTATAGTTTAAGGTGATTAATGGGATGATTATGGTGATTGTTGCATTGATTAGCATGCCTTAAACGTTGTGAATATATTTTAGAAGTTATCCATTGTGCTTCAAAATTGGTCAAACTCACTAACATGGACGAACTAGAGATTATGCCTATTTGCACGACTTTACATGTACATGATGTAAAGTGCATATTCTTGCACGACTTTGAAAATTATGGTGCAAAATTGTATAAAGTTACGCCAAAATAGGTGATTTCCTGATCAAGTGGACAACTTTAAAGGAGTCTTTATAAAATAGTGTAACTTGACTTGATGTTTGGGATTTTTTTTAGAGGCCTAATGTGTTATGGTAGCCTTGTAAAACCATGTAATCGACAAAAAATGGGGGTTGTAAATACAAACCTTAATTTTTTAACTCTTGGGGATTAGTGTTCTAATGTAAAATCCTTATGTTGAATATAAGTTATTGGGCTTATGGGGAGTTTACAGCTACGAAGAATCAAAATTGACAATATATATAAATTTAAGTGGATGAAACAAAAATTACCTTCGAAAAATCAATCCCCATTGATAAACCTTTCACACTTCACAGGAACTTTAGCACAAAAGGGAAAGTTCAATTTTCCTTCTTTTTTTTTTTTTTGGCTTAAGAGAAGCAATACATGTGGCCAACGTTTAAAATTTAAAAATTTCATAGTCAATGGTTGCTAATGAAAAGATACTGATGGTTGCCATTGCCAATACTTCAATAAAAATTCTTTTTATACAAAAAAGAAAAACATAAATATATGCATGCTAGGAGAGTGTTTGGACATGTTTATTATGACTTAAGATCACATAATCAATTTATTACCGATTTGCCAAACTGCTTCTGCTTCTGATTCTAATTTTACAGGACCAAAGCAATTGTATATGTAAAAACATTAAAATAATAATAATAATAATAATAATAATAATAATAATAATAATAATAATAAACTTGTTCAAAACAAATGATTGTTAATGTATAGTTACATAAATTTTGTTCAAAATTCGTATAACCTTCAAACTCAAAGTCAAAGGAGAGCAACAACAATGAAGATGAGAAAAACGCCCATGAAAGTGTACTTCACACCAGCCATCAAAGTCGCCATTGTTGCAACAAACAGCTGCCGCAACACTTGTACACCAGCCCATGCCAACGCCCCAGTTAAACCCACCGCTACAACATTATCCGGATCCGGATCCAAAAGCAACTCGATCCACCTCAAATTAACTCTCGGAACTTCATCTCCTCCTCCTCCTCCTCCTCCCTCTTTTCTCAAATCTTCTTTACCATCGCCATTACCATTCGAATCTTCAGAAGATGTTACCTTAAATCCTCTACTGTTTTTTCTCCTTGATTTGAGTTGCAAAGATGAGAAATCGTTAGGTAGAAATTGGAAGACAAATCGACGGACTGTTTCTAGTTTTCGATTTGGATTCATGAATTGAATCGATGAAATCTGATGGGATTTGAGCCCTAGCATGTTTAGAGTGAAATGGGGATTAACCATAAAATCAGCTAATTAGGTTTTTTATTAATTGTAATGTAGCATAATTTCAACTGATATCCTTTTGGTTTAATTTTTAACAATGTCAGTCCCTAATTTTGTAGAAGTATTGCATTTTTCCCATATTAAACACATGAAAAACTTTGACAAAATTGGGTAAACTTCAACTATTTTCCAATTCTAATGAAGAATCAAAGTATGATTTCTACAACTAGCAACTGTTCTGGGATTTGTGAAACTGATACTTCACAATTTATGTAGTGACTCCATCTCCATGTAACCTTCAGGAATCACAGATTTCATTTTCTCCAAGAAAGCATTATCATCATCATTGGAGAAAGTTGGTGGTGATACAGTGGCCATAAGAACAAAATTATCTTCTTTATCAACGTCTGTTTCATATACTTTGTGAAAAGCATCCTTGAGTTCTGCTATCAATGTCTCATAGAACTCTTCATCCAGAGGAACCACATTCATGATAAAAACACCATGATCATTAAGAAGCAATCTTGCAGCATCAAAAACAGATTTCTTAACAAATCCTTGAGGTGGAGCACAACTTCCATTTTGAAACTCGCTTGAATCCAAATCAACCATAACCACATCAAATTTAGCATCCAACCCACCAATTTTAACCTCTGAATCTGAATCATCTGTCTCCTCTTCTTTTGTTGCAAAGTTTTGAATCACATCTATTGCATCTCCAGTAATTAGTTGAATAGAATTGTCATTGTTTAACCCGAAATACTGCTTTGCAGCAATCAACACAGCATCATCAACCTCCACTCCAACAACTTCAAACCCTAGTTGAGTGTTCAAGAAAGCTAACAAAGCGCCACCACCAACCCCTAAACACAAAGCTCTTGGAGTAATCCCCTGTTGAATTCGCTCATTCAGATGTGAAGCAATCAAGAAAAGACCAGAAACCATAGGAATCAAGTATGGGTGAACCAAAACCCTTGTATCAACTTCAAACTTTACGTTCTTCATTTTCCTCAAACTTTCCAAGTCTAACTCTGCATTACTATCGCCATCATCAAGAATGGGAACAAGAGAGACCTGTGATTGAATCAAATTAGGCATTCTTTTAAATCTCAATCTCCTCCGGAGTTCTTTCTTGTTATTACTTCCCAATTGAACATCTTCCACAACAAATTCACCAACAAAGGTGCCGAAAAATCTATCTATATTCACACGACACACCAAATCATCTTCATAATTCAAGAATACTGTTTCTGGCGAACCGTTTTGGAAACACACTTTCGGATGCAAAGCCATTACTAGTGATCGCAATTCTTTTTGGAGTTTCTTTCTATCAGCGATATCAATAGCCGGAGGGCGAACATAAATGCAGGGCTGTGGATTAAGCGCGAGATCATTACCGATAAGGATGAGGCGGGAGAGGTCTTGGAAGTTGAATAGGATCTGAAGTTGCCCAGATTCGGTGCAGAACTTCCAATCTGTTTCCCGCTGTTCCGGTACAATCATGGCGGCGATTTTTGGGAGCCCATCGACAGCAGCGGCTATCGGAGAATCTAGTACGGCGACGCGGATTCGTGGAGTGTGGAGATGGCAGCGGTGGTTAAGGGTGTTTGCGACTGTGAAGGTGAGGAACTGCGATGGCTTTAGGGTTTCGAAGTTTGGGTTGCTCGTCATTAGTAGCGTTGATGAGAGAAGTCAGTTGCATGAATGAATCAGAGTTCTTGAATTGTTTTGAAGATGAGAGAGGAGACGATTGATTTGAATTTTATATACAAATTTTCCATCGTCTTACCGGCCAAGATTCTAAACAGAAAACTAACGGAACTGAATTTTAATAATTATTTTATTTTTATTTAATTTTAATTATATAATCCAATATAAATATAAATTATTAATAATGGTATTTTTATGAGATTGTTTCTTTCCTTGAAATGCTTTCTCAAAACTGATCGCTAATAACCAATTTGATTAAGAATATATAGAATTAATACATGTAATACAATTATAAACCATGGAGATGTTGAAGAATTCAATATAACTCATCCACGATAATGATGTGGTATTAGAAACGTTCATACAAGGATATGTGAGAATGACAAGCAAGATGGTTTTAACTTGATATAAATTATAAGCACGGTTTTTTTTATTGTGTAAAAAAGATACAAAACCTACAAAGATTCAAGACTATTAGATGCATTTTTATGCATTATTTAGGATATTTCTCCTTTTTTTCATAACATTTCATATACACATCATGCATTTCATTACTTTATGGAATTTTGTACATATCTAGCGGAAGCATGGAATTATCTAATGTTTAGTAGAACATATATTTAGGAACACTTCAAGGGCCCATTTTCGGGAGCCATAAGCTAAAAACTGAAAAAGCTGGAAACCCGTTTTACATAATCGTGAGGTTTTGCATTTAAAATGTACATGAATGAGTTGAAGAAGGATTCCGTGTGGATTTAGCAATTACATGACCATGTAAATACATGAATAAAATTTTACATGAGTGTATGGGTCAATTTGTTGATGGTTCGAAGCATTTCTTATGCACGGTTAATAAAGAAAAAAAAAATATTTTCCAAGGAGGTTCAAGAGAGAAATACAAAAAGAATGGGAGAAGTTTCAAAGGAATTTAAGTGATTAAGATTCAAAACAATCTTTAATTATCGTTTGTAATTGACTAATTAGTAAATTAATTTTCTATCTTGATCGTGATTGTTTCCTATATTTGTATTGGATTCATGTTTGGAATTAACAATATATGTTTGTTTTACTCAAAAATCACATTGATCAAATTCACTACTTTGAATTATGTATAATCCAGATATGTTTTTGTGTTTCTAGACTTTGTACTTGTTTTAGGAGCAAATTTGCGGAAACTGAACGCTTTTCTATAATCATACATTGCGTTTTTATGAAACCTTTAAGCTTACGAAATGCAACATCAACAATATACCATATGATCGAATCTCATTAGAATAGGGTCGGGGATATAGATTTCGACAGTCATGTTCCTATCAGGTATAGAGAGATTTTGTCACATATAAGCTATGTGACATGTCCAAATTATAACTTGTAAATAAGACAAAACAAAGTGAAAATAAATCAAATTGAGCACTCATGATAATCAAAAATGGTAAAATATAGCATATGAATCTGGGAGCATGGATAGTTCATAATACAACTATCGAAACCAATAAAAAAAATTGTGCTTATGGAAAGGTGAAACGTTATTGAGAATCTTTTGATGTTTAAAGCAAATTATTATTTACTCAAACTTAATTATAACATTAGATTTAACTACCTAGCTCGTTTTGGCTACACTCTAATGAAAAGAAGATGTGTTAGAGCTTGTGAACACATACCAATTTAAATACATAACTTTGTGTCCTTTACACTATGTGTGGAGTGTGGTTAGGGCGAGACACATTCTTCAACATGGAATATGTTCAAAGTTGTATATTTTTTTTTAACTGTGTATCAATTTTTTTCTTTTAATAGACCTATTTATTAAATATCTTTCGTAATGGTCTTTGAAAATAAGTTTTTTTTTATTTTTTATTATAATTTTTTATTTTTTGCTTTAAACAATGCAGAAGGGTCCCAAAGTAAAAGGTTTACCAAAAAATTTGAATATTATTTCCAAAATAGCACATTGGATTGAAAATGCTAGTGAGGTGCACATGGTTAGACATTATATATAAATACAATAATATAACTTAAAAAGATTAACAATAAGTACTTTTTATAAAGATTTTTAAATACATTGTTTCTATAGTATATCCAAATACATAGTTTCCACAAATATTTCCAAATATATAATGTTCTCAGTATCTCTAATACATATTTTTCTTAATAATTCCATATATGAAGTTTCAAAGGTTTGTCAATACATAAAGCATTGCATTAGTTTAGAATGTAGAGTTTAAGTGAAGAAATATCATCATCTAATATCATAATGTATTTGACTGCAATACATGTCATATTTTAATTGGTTTCTCAATTTCCATTTCCATTCTATTAATTCCTTGAAAACTAGTTTGGGTTCTGGGAAGACCTTCCTCACATAGCCCAAACAAGCAGATATTTGGGCTCCTTAAGTGTAATATGTACTATTTCATGGGCTATCATCCGATCTATATATATGTTCACATATCTAAGGGCTACATATAGGGGTGGCTACCATAATTTATAGTAGCTACTTACTCTTCCATGAGGCTAGTCAAAGGGACAAGTATAACATTGGATACCCAAACATATATTCATGTCTAAAAGCAATATAAAAGTACCTTTCCGTTTGCCTATTTCCAAATGTCTTAACTTCTCAATGTTTTCCAATCATGCTCTGAATACATATAGCACAATAGCACATGGTTTACCAATGTTACTCAAATATCTTTAAATGTTATACATGATTCGAAAATATACATATGATTTTCTCAACTATCTATAAATATTATGCATCATTAAAATATACATATAATTACCACGTATTTTTAAATGTTATACACAGACAGAATACAAGCACTACAGAGCTAGGGGGACCAAGATTAAGACTTTATAATTAAACTATATAAATAATTTTTATTTATTTCAAAATTATGACATATCAAAAGTTTAAACAAGAAAACTAATATAAAGATTGTTAAATCGTTTATCAAAGTGGAACACAATGATCCTTTGCTTTTTTAAAATCTTCTACAATTGTCTCTAAACTAATCTTTTCAGCAAGTTCCCTTTCGAACTGCAAAACCAATGAGTCATCCAGAAACTCGTCTTCCATTTTATTCCGTAACCTTGTTTTAATGAGGTTCATTGCTGAAAATGATATTTCTGTTGTGGCAGTAGAAACTGGAAGAGTAAGTATGAGACTAACTACTCGATAAATAAGATGAAAGTTTGCTACTCTTCTAGTCTTTATCAACCATTGACACAATTCGGACATAGATGCCAATAGTTTATAATCTGCATGTTGAACAACATCAATCTCATAATGTTGAAGCTGTATCTTCAAAACTGTTTTCTCATGTTCATTGAAATCTTCAGGATAAAACTTATCTACTAACTTAATTATATCACCAATTTGAAAAGGCTCATCAACACTCTTAGGATCTAAAGTTGTTGAAAGTCGAAGCAACTCCGTTGAGCTATCGTTAAATCGATGATTTAGTTCCATTATTTGACAATTAATTGCTTCGTAAAATATATCCACTCGGTAATGATGTTCAAGTGTATGATCACTACGCTCGTTACGAGCTCGAGCCCCTCTACTAAAGTAGGGAGAAGTCATATTTGGGATATCAATGTTGCGTTCCTGACAAAATGACTTAACAAGAGAGAGCAAACTATCCCATCTTTCATCTTTCATTTTTTGTAATAACAATTTGGTAGATGCAACTAACCTCAATGCATTACAAATATCTTGAGTTTGTCTTTGTAAAGCTTGACAAATTAAATCAGTGATCTCCATTATTTCTTTCTCGAGATGAAGAACAAAAATGAACTCGGATGTAGTAATAGCCTCATATGCTGAATCTGCGTCGCCTTTGATTACACCAGTTCCATCTTCAATAATTTTAAGTAAAACCTCGCAAGTTGGACTAAACATTTTGATTAAGCTCGAAACTGATTTGAGGTGAGAACTCCATCTAGTATCACCAGCTCGTTGTAATGTGCCAATTTGATTAAGACCTCTACCTGTCTCTAGCTCATCAATAGAAACCTTGTATGCAATTTCCTCGGCTTGTGCATCTCTAATTTGGTCGGCACGCTTGGAGGAAGCACCAACAACATTGATAACAAAAGATAATCGAGTAAAAAACTTTTGTAATGCAACAACTCCTTGTGAAGCAGCCATTAATGCTAATTGCAATCGATGGGCAAAACAATGAACATAATACGCATATGGACAATCATTTGAAATCAATGCTTGTAAACCCTTGAAATGACCTCGCATATTGCTTGCACCATCATATCCTTGGCCACGAATAGACTTAAGATCAAGATTGTTATGTGACATTACAGAATAAATTGCATTCTTAAGAGTTTGTGCTGTAGTGTCAGGTACATGAACAAGCCCAAAGAAACGCTCCATAACAAATCCATCTTTATTTAAAAGTCTCAAAACAATTGACATTTGTTCTTTATTAGACTGATCACGTACTTCATCAACAACTAAACAAAATTTCCCACCGTCAATCTCCGCGCAAATCATCCTCCTCACCCTAGTTGATATAAGGTTTAGAACCACTTTTTGAATTGACGGTGATATATACGATGCATATTTAGGAGCAGTACGGAACAATTCTTCCGTCTCTGTGTTAAAATCGCCAATTGCCTTCAACATTTGACGAAAATTTCCTTTGTTTATGGAATCTGGTCCTTCATTGTGGCCTCTGTATGCAACTCCTTGAAAGGCACACCAACGTACTGCATAAATAGTAGCTTTCAGTCTTAATCTATTATTTTTACGCTCTTCTTCTGTAAATGTCTCAAACACATTTTGTATATATTGTGCCTCGTTTAACAAATCATCACATGATTTTTGTGCAACGATGTGAAAAGATGTACACTCAGTCCCTATGTGATGCAAAAAAGCACAACTTTTTCCACCAACTTTCTTCCAATTCTGAAATCCATCTATAGTAAATGCTTGTTGGCCGTAGTGTCCCATTCCCGAAGGCTTGTTGAATAGAAAACATGGAAAACAAAACGCAACATCTAAGCTCTCTGAATATTCAAGACAATGATATAATTTAAACCAAGAAGCTTGATAACTAAGCTTATGAGTTTCTGGTCCCGATTTTGGATATACAGCAAGTGTTTGTTGAAAGGGACCAAGATTAATATATGCTCGCCTAATAGTATCTCGCTGATTAACCGGATAATCATAAATTTGCTTACGCAAACCAGGATCTCTTTCTAATGTATTAAGATCAATTTCATTAATTTCAAGATGAGGTTTTTTGAAACGATTATCAGTATTATGAACATCGGGTGTGGGGGCATCTTCATCCAAAACAATCTCCGGCGGGTTTTCGGAATCTTGAGTAGAACTTAAGTATTTTCTTTTAAAAAACCCATCAATAGTTTGTTGTTTTTTCATGTTGATATCTACCATACAACCAAATTTATTAACAATCAACAAAATATCAATATAAAATACCGATAAACATTTAAAGCTTTTATTTTAAAAAGATAATATAAACTATAATTGGTGATATAATTAAGTTAGTAGATAAGTTTTATCCTGAAGATTTCAATGAACAAGAGAAAACAGTTTTGAAGATACAACTTCAACATTATGAGATTGATGTTGTTCAACATGCAGATTATAAACTATTGGCATCTATGTCCGAATTGTGTCAGTGGTTGATAAAGACTAGAAGAGTAGCAAACTTTCATCTTATTTATCGAGTAGTTAGTCTCATACTTACTCTTCCAGTTTTTACTGCCACAACAGAGAGATCATTTTCAGCAATTAACCTCATTAAAATAAGGTTACGGAATAAAATGGAAGACGAGTTTCTGAATGACTCATTGGTTTTGCACTTCGAAAGGGAACTTGCTGAAAAGATTAGTTTAGAGACAATTGTAGAAGATTTTAAAAAAGCAAAGGATCATCGTGTTCCACTTTGATAAATGATTTAACAATCTTTATATTAGTTTTCTTGTTTAAACTTTTGATATGTCATAATTTTGAAATAAATAAAACTTATTTATATAGTTTAATTATAAAGTCTTAATCTTGGCCCCCTAACTGTAGTGATTGTGTTCCGCCCCTGACCACGCTTAAATAAGTTTTGTCAAAAAAAAATGCTAAAAGTTTTATTTATGTTTTTATAAAAATGAGACAAACACTTACTATATTTTTAGTTATATGAAAAATAATTATTTTTGGTTTTATAATTTCAATTGCTGTCGTTCTCGTTTGATGTTTTAACAAATTCAGTCCCTTAATTTGTAGATTTATTGCATCTTGTCTTTAACAATTTTCCATTTTCAATTTTGGATGTCTATAAGCACAAGGCTAGAATTGCGACGCATATGTTATCGGAATCCTGTTCTTGATTACAATCTATCTTACCTTCAATGACTTCTCTGGTTCCCATTAATTCTGTAACAACTATACAATTCGATCATATGTTGCAAAATTCTTCATCTATTTTGCTATTGTGATGAAAAATCAAAGTATGATTTCTGTAACTACTAACAAAATTGAATAACCTGTTCTGAGAATTAATTGAATTGGAAGATGGAATTTGATGAACTGATACTTCACAATTCAACTACGGACTCTAAAAGACCTTCAGGAATCTCATACATCAACTTCTCCAAGAAAGCAGCAGCATCCTCGTCCATGGAGGAAGTTGGTTCTGATACAGTGGCCACAAGAACAACATTATCTTCATCCTCAACATCTATTTCATGTACACTGTGAAAAGCATCCTTAAGTTCTTGAACCAATGTCTTATAGAACAAGTCATTCACAGGAACCACATTGATGATACAGACACCATGATCATCATCAAGAAGTAATCTAACAGCCTGAATCACAGATTTCTTAACAAATTCTAGTGGTGGAGCACATATGCCATATCGAGGCTCACTTGAATCCAAATCAACCATAACTACATCGAATTTAGCATCCAAACCATCAATTTTAACCTCTGGATCTGAATCATCTGTTGCCCCTTTTTTTTGTCGCATCGCAGAGTTTTGAATCAGTTGTATAGCATCTCCAACAATTAGTTGAATAGAATTTCCATTGTTGAATCCGAAAAACTGCTTTGCAGCACTCAAAACAGCCTCATCGATCTCCACTCCAACAACTTCAAACCCCATTTGAGTGTTCAGGAAAGTTAACAAAGCACCACCACCAACCCCTAAACACAAAGCTCTTGGAGGAAACCCTTGTCTGATTCGCTTATTGAGATGTGAACCAATAAAGAAAAGACCAGAAACCATAGGAGCCAAGTATGCGTGAACGAGAATTGTTGTATCGATTTGAAACTTTACGTTCTTCATTTTCTTCAGATACTCCAAGTTTATCACGTCAGCAACAACCTTGCCATCATCAGCCATAACAGGATAAAGGTGGACCTGTGATTGTATCAAATTAGGCGTTCTTTTAAACCTCAAATTCCTCCGGAGTTTTTTATCAACGCTGTCATCATGAACTTCCATTAACACATCTTCAACAACAAATTCACCAACAACAGGGCCTACAAATGTAGTTACAATCACCCGATACAACAGATCATCTTCATATGTCAAGAATCGGATTTTCGGCAAACCGTTTTGAAAACACACTTTGGGATGCAGAGACATCACTAGCGATTGCAATTCGTCTTCTAGTTTCTTTCTGTCAACATCAGCGGTATCAGTATCCGGTGGTCGAGTATAAATGCAAGGAGGTGGATTAGGCGGGAGATCATTGCCGATTAGGATGAGACGGGAGATGTTAGGGTAGTCTAATAAGAGCTGACGATGACCGGAATCAGAACAGAAGGTCCAGTCTGTTTCCCTCTGGTCCGGTACAATCATGGCGGCGATTTTTGGGATGTCATCGGCAGCGACGGCTACCGGAGAATCGAGTACAACGACGCAGATCCATGGAGTGCGGAGGTAGCAGCGGTGGTTAACGGGGTTTGGGGTTGTGCATTTGACGATCCGCGATGGCTTTAGAGTTTCGAACATTGGGTCGATCGACATTACTTGCGTTGATGAAAAGATTGAAAGTTAGTTGCTGGAGTCGGAGTTGTTCACAACTGTTTTGAAGAGGAGAACAGTATCCGTTTGATTTGAAATTTATTACCGTCGCCCTTTCGGCTCTCGGGAAAGGATTGAATTTTTACAATTATTATTTTTGTTTAAATTTAATCTTAATATAAATTATTGATAATGGTCTTTTGTGAATATGTTTTTTCGAGTTAAGCAGAAAAAATATTGAAAGAGTTCCGAGTAGAACAATTGATATATCAAAAGAATGAGTTGTTTTACAAAACTACTTGGTGAAAAAAATAATAATAAATAAATAAAAACTTACTTAGTTCCATGATTTATTTTCCGAAAAAAAAATAATAATGAGTTATTTTACAAAACTACTTGGTGAAAAATATAATAATAAATAAATAAAAACGTACTTAGTTCTATGATTTATTTTCCGAACAAAAAATAATAATGTGAACTATTCATGGAATTCTGGAAGAAAAAATAGTAGAATTGTAAATCCATGTACGTAGCTGTAACATCTCGTTTAAAATAGAACGATTAAATAATAAACCCGAACCTCGAGAAGTAATTATTATATACATATATAAAAAATCCTAGCCTTCGTGAACAGTATAATTCATCCATTTCAGATTTTAACCCCCATTAATATGTAGAAATTGACTTTCCCGTCCTTGTAAATTCCAACTGCCTTCTTGCCACTCATCGTTGCTTTCTGTATGTTCTCAAAAACCTTGAACTTTCCATCGTTTCCAATCTCTGCAACTCTTTTGTTAGGAAGATTAGGGTTTGCGGTGGAGATCTGGATACCAGCTTGGATCATGATATTACTTTCCGAACTGATATTTCTACCCTATGTCTGGGTTAAAAGAAATTCAGTCTAGGATAATTCAAGCGGACACCTACGTTTCTAGGCACAGAAAACATAAGTTATTATGCTTAAAGGTTCTGTGAATGTATGATGAAAAACGAGAGCTAAAAACCGTCCCTCTTCTGGAAACGAAGAGTTGTTTATATACTAAACACAATTAGGGTTTCATTAGGGTTGGACCGTCATTACTTGCTTAGGAAGCAAGTAATATTAATCCGGATTAGGGTTACCAAAAACTAACGAATTTCGTTAGATTTACCATAATCACCCTCAAGAAATTGAATTTCCATTACTTGCCCCTTGGACCCCGCTAGGGGTGCTGCCCCTTTGGAAACCCCGGACCCGGGGGCGCTGCCCCCGGACCCCCGACTAGTTGTCGAACCGACTTCTGACTCGATCTTATACATGTGTGCACTCCGCACAAACCCGTACATGTATTAGAGTACAAATCATGAAACCCCTTAGCTCACATGTTAGTTCCAGTTACTTAAAATGACATGGTGACACTAAAATCACCAACATCTTTCTTCGTTTCCAAATCTTTGCAACTCTTCTGACTATCTCCTTCTCTATCATTTTAACAAAGTTAGGAAATAGTGAAAATTCTATGTACTTCTCTTTCTTCATTTCCAATCATTGTAATTAGGAAATTTTGAAATAAGTTCACAAATCTGATCAAGGACTTTCTCTAACCTTTTCTAAATTTGTTCAAAACATCGACATAAAAAGGTTTATTCATATGTAAATATTGGTGATTTCTCCTCCAAGAATTTACGGTTTCCCACCCACTTCTTCCGATTAATAAGGCATTTCAATTCAATCTCTTTCTCTTTTCAACTTTTGATCATCGACTTTTCCCAATCTTTTTGAATTTGTTCAAAAATATCGCCAAAAATTGTCTTCTTCATATGTTAATTTTGTTGATTTCTGATTCATAAGGTTCATCATATTATCATGCTCCCAGTCGGCAACAATACTCGATTGTGATTCAGAAAATATGTAGGAATTATCTCCACTTTCATCAACTAGGGTTCGATTTCTTATTCATAAGGTAAGTCTCTTGCTCACTCTCATACGTACATAGTTTGCATTGTTTTTTTTCACTCTCTCTGATACGCACAAACGTATCAAAATTAGTTTTCCTATGTTATTTTGCTTGCCAAAATCTTTCAAAACCGTATCCTTTCTACCCTGTATATTACCTTGTAAAATCCTGACATTTGGTAATTCTTTGTGTGATCCAACTTTGACTAAATTTTCAAACCCAAATAGACATGAACGAAGTCAGAAGCGTAAATAAGAAAAAAAAAAAAACCTTTGATAAAAAGGAATCAAATATTGAAAAATAAGAAAAAATGGATTATAATCTTCAATTTCCTTTAAACTGGTAAACACATAAGTAAGAAAAAAAATCAAATTGTTCCAAATAATGTCTTTGAATGATTGTTGAGATATACTTCATGTTGAAGAGACATGGATTAATACAAGCATTTGGACTACAACATATGAAAATATTACAACATTTTCCAGATAATCATAGTGAAAAAAACAGCCAACCTATTATTCGACCCTACTGTACGTCTTTGGAAATTACATACTTTTCTATACTTTGTAATTAATTTTCCTTACAGATGATATGAAGTCATTTCTATAGTTGAAGGTGGATGAAACCCTTTTTTTATTTTCTTCAATCTGTTGTGTATACAACCAAGGTTAGATATGATTGGTATTTGTTTTTTTTAAGTAATCTATTATACTAATGGTATATATACAAGACAAACACATATCAAATTCATCCAAGGTTAGGGATATAGTTGGTATTTGTATTTATTAAAGTAATTTGCTATTTTGATGATTTTTTAGTTGAATAGATAAACTATTTTGTGGTTCTTCTTGTTATTTCACCGGAATGAAGAGTTTTTTGTCTAAGTTAAAAACAATTTCATATCAAATCATCAATATTTTTTGATCATTTTGCCCTTAAAGAAAGCTCAAAGTTTTTATCAGTTTTTACTAAGACTAAAATGTGAATAATAAAGAAAAATGATTGTTGGATAAACCTTAAAACTAATGTGATAACATATAATGCTGACAAGAGTTTTTTTTTAAGTAATCTGTTATACTAGTGGTATATATACAAGACAAACACATATCAAATTCATCCAAGGTTACGGATATAGATGGTATTTGTATTTATTAAAGTAATTTGTTATTCCGATGATTTTTTTAGTTAACTAGATAAACTATCGATTTTCTGTTCCATTTTCAATTATGATTTTGCTCTCTTTTTTCCTTTCTAACTCTCCTTCTCGAAATGGGACAAGATATTGGATCATAAAAAAATGAAAAATAATAGAACTAGAAGCATACAACTAAACATGCATATTATATACTAAATCCTGTAGTATTCCTTTGTATTTTATTAAAAAAAATGTTTCGTTGAAATATTCCATTTTTAGACATGTGAAATGATAAAATATGCTACAAATATGGAAGAAAAAAAATCTTATACAACAAGTCTAAGGGTAAATGATGATTTTGCCCTTGCTAGAATCCAAAGGTATGAATTTGATAATCTTGAAAATGGATAATTAATGACTATTTAAGAATCAGGTTTTCTGTTTTTTGACATTAATTGTAACGACCCAATTTTTACGTCCGAAAATTTCATTTTTAAGATATTACTTTAGAAAACATTAATAAATAAAAACATTGTTTGTTCACACCATAACACATCGCAACCATGTTCTAAAAAGTCAAACCATACATCCCATCAAAATATCAGAGTACAATCCCAGTAAATCTCATAAATGCGGAAACCGAAGAGTGTGTGTATGACGTGCCGCTACCGCGCCGGCTCCTTCCCCTTCGATGCAGAGGTACCTGAAAACAAAACTGTAAACGTAAGCACAAAGCTTAGTGAGTTTCCCCCAACGTACCGCATACCATACAAACACATAACATACGTACTGCCAGGCTATTCTGGGGTGCCTGACTACCCGGTACGGCCATTCTGGGGTGCCGTCCTACCCATACGGCCATTCTGGGGTGCCGTCTTACCCGTGTCAAGCCATTCTGGGGTGCTGACTACCCATGTCAAGCCATTCTGGGGTGCTGACTACCCATCGGTCCTAACAACCGATCCTCGGGGACTATTTCACCCCCTACTACTACGATCACATATAACATAACAAGCCAGCATGCAAACATGTCATCACGTACTGTCAGACGTATCTGGGGTGTCTGACTACCCTTTGGTCCTAACAACCAAACTCTACTACTATCACATACAACATATCATGCTAGCATATAACATATCAGGTAGTAGCAAACTTAGATGATATCACAAAGACAATCATCTATCATACATCTCCTACTGGTGGGTCGGCATTGTGGCCTTAGACCCACTGCTACTGGATGGTAACTCACCTCAAAGTAGCTGCTAAACTGATCGGGAACTAACTGACTGCTGCTGCTCCGGGAGTCCTCCGGCTGCAATTCCCACAACATACTCAATCAAACACTGCTAACTGTCCTTTAGGTAAAATGACCATTTTACCCCTGGTTTAGCTCTAAGCCAATGCTAGGGTCAACTTTCAGTTGACCCGACTCGCCGAGTGGATCACCACTCGCCGAGTCCCTAGCAACCATTGTCCTGGGTCCCTGGTTCTACTCGTCGAGTCGGGCTATGACTCGACGAGTTCACCTTCTAACTGCCATTCAACTCCTTCATCCTACTCACCGAGTTGCATGAACAACTCGTCGAGTTCATCTTCATCCGAAGAACACTTTATGCTAAGACTCGCCGAGTTGTATGAACAACTCGCCGAGTCTGTTCTTGATCTATGAAGATTGCCTTGGACTCGCCGAGTCAGGGCATTGACTCGTCGAGTCCTAACATGGGTGAGTTCAGCTCCCAACTCACCGAGTCACCCCCCTGTGACTCATGGCTCAACTCGACACATGAAGAAGGGACAAACTCGAAGACTCGCGAGCAGACTCGCCGAGTCACATGAACGACTCGCTGAGTCGTTGCCATGCACTCCTTAAATATACCGATTTGCTCGATTCCAGTCCATGCCATTCATAGATCTGG